GGGGAGGTGACCGCGGTCCGCGGCGGGCGGGGGTAGTCTCGCCGCGCATTCAGATTCGACGAGCTTTATATATTAATATCTCGAAAACTAATTGCGAAGATCGCAAAATGGTAGAGGACTTTTTGTTCAGTTTTGTCCACACTACCTTCTCACAAGCGCTGTACCATTGAGTATGAGACACCCTGTATATATATATATATACATGTTTTGACACAATAGATTGAGAGAAGGCCAATGAATGGTCATAGTAGGATCTTGGTGCTTCTAATATTTCTATGTGAATTTTACATATGTATTCTAGTTTAGTTTTTTATAATAATTTGAATTTTATTAGGTATTCAAGTTTTAAAATAATTTGAATTATGTTACAGTAATATTACAAGTTGTATTATTCAATATAATATTATTGTCATTTAGTTCCTTTTTATTATTTATACCTTCTGTATTAATATTACTCACTACTATTATTATTAAAATTAAGCTAATTGTAAGATAATTTCTGTGATATGATTTAATTAGGGTAATACATTTCTTTGAACATGCTTATTTATTTACAACATTATTATAACACTATTGTTATAAAAAGTTTATAAGTACGAGAGCTTATATTGCAAACTAGGTATATTTAAATTATTTTCAATTACTTTTATTCTATTATACGGATGAGTCAAGTATATGATTCGTTGATATAAGTGTATGACTATAGTAATATGTTAAAAATATATAAAAAACGGGCGAGCCAAGTGTGCTGCTGCTGGAAATTTCTCCTCATCTTTGATTTTTCTATCACGTAATTTGCTACTTGTTATCGATGCAAAATCCCTTTTTAATTTCTGCGGCCCTTATTACACTATCTAATGCATTTCTTGTTTTTATTTTATTTTTTCGCTATTTATATTTTTTTATTTTAAATGTTTCCATGTTCTATATTAAATCTACTACGATTGTGAGAGATAGCTTCCCAGAATATTGTACCATTACAAATTTCTTTAATAACTATTATCATTTGGGTTGGAAGAAAGTGTTGAATAGGTATAAAGATACGGTCCACTTGGGTTTTATTGTTTAAAAATAGTTGTATAATTAAAATAATTTCCAGTAATATACATATACTTTTTAATTTTTTGTATTGAAATTCTTTTTCTGTTGTATTGAAATATACAATACTATCACTTATGTTTTAATGGATAAGAATAAAAGATAATAGGTACCACTTGAATTTTATTTGGTAATTTGGTATTTTTTTCGAGATATACGAGGATCATTTGAAAAGTTTCCGGCCTTATCAACATAAAGTAACTGTAGAAAAAAATTTCTTTCGCCGTCCGATAGCCTTGATATATGTAAACCGTAAAATTTGGAAGTTATTCTGATCATTACTCTGTCTATGGCAACTCTTCAAAGTTGTCAGCTGACATTGTCTGTCAACAATGAAGAAAATCGAGTATCGCGCAGTGATAAAATTCCTTCATTTGAAAGGGAAAAAGACTCAGGAAATAAAAGACGAGTTAGACTCTGTATACGGTGAAGCCTCCCCTTCATTTACAACGGTCAAACATTGGGTGGTCGAGTACAAACGCTCGTACGAGCATTTTAGACGAGGAACGTTCCGGGCGCCCGAAAATCGCTACAACTGACGAAATGATTGATTTTGTGCATCAAACTGTGATGGAAGATCATCGATTGACTGTTAAGGATATTGTTGAGGCTTGTGGGATATCATCTGAACGGGTGCACAAGATTTTACATCAAGAATTGGATATGAGAAAATTATCCGCGCGCTGGGTGCCGCACTTGTTGACGATCGACCAAAAGCGCATACGGATGGACATGTCGCGCGAGTGTCTTAGCCTGTATCAAAAAAATCCAGCGGAATTTTTGCGGCGAATGATAACCGTCGATGAAACCTGGGTACACCACCATACGCCTGAGACCAAACAACAGTCAAAGCAGTGGTGTGCGATGGGGGAACCAACTCCGAAGAAAGCAAAGATCGTCTCTCTGCAGGAAAAGTGATGGCGACAGTTTTT